TTTTTTTAAGTTGAACTATAGTTGATTGACAATACTGTGCTAGTTTCAGTTGTATAGCAAAGCGGTTATATATATGATAGATTGTTATGTATATGATATATGTAACACATATATATTATAGATATATAGATTCTTTTCCATTATAGGTTACTGCAAGATACTGAATATAATTCCCTGTGCTGTACAGTAAATTCTTGTTGTTTACCTATTTTATTTATAGTGGTTTGTATCTTGATGCAGAAAATCTAATTCTTTAATTTTGATCTTCAGGGAATAAGTATATATGTAATGTTTTAGCCACCAACATGTTAATCACAGAGAAATTCTGAATAACAGAAGATGAGAAATAACATAGTGACCTAACAAGTGTGATCCTATGTTTGAAATATATTTATAAACTCATAATGTTATCTGGTTAGTAAGAATACATGTGGTTTTTATTTTTTAATTTATCTGAACTATTCATTCTTCAATAAATACTATTAAAATGTATGTGCATTTATATGTAAATATATATACTGTTAGATTTTATTCACTAACCTTTTATTAGTGAATTTATTTGATGCATGATTTCTGTATCTATTTTTGAGCTTCTGGTTTGTTGTTTCGTGTCTGTGGTATCTTCATCACGTTTAGTAGCATGGTTAGGCCAGTTTTATGGAATGAACTGAGTGGCTTTTATTTTATTTCTGTGCTCTGGAACACTTTAAATAGCAGGCGAATGACCCATTTTTGAATCTTTGAAAGAAATAGTTTAAATTCAATGTTGGGTTGTTTTTTGTTTTGAAGGGGTAATTAGGTTTATTTATTTATTTTGATGGAGATACTGGGGATTAAACCCAGGACCTTGTGCATGCTAGGCACGCACTCTACCAGTCAGCTATGCCCCTGCCCTCCCAGGCCAACAGCAATTTATTGAGCAAATAGACTACTCAATCTGTTGGCTGCAAAACTTAAGACTTAGAGATCTTGTACTGTAAACCCCCATATGGGGGGTAAGCCCCAGATAAGGAAAGTGTAGCCTGGATAGGTCACGTACAGTGACCACCTGTAGTTACACTGAGCTTGTCACCTCCTGTCCAGTTCTCTCTCTTCTGCTGGACCCTGCATCCTGAAGTCCGTTCTGCAGACCAGCACTGTCCAAGAGAGCTTTCTGTGATGGCGCAGATGTCCTGTTTTACACTGTCTAACATGGCAGCCACCAGCTACGTGTGGTTTGGGGGTACTTGAAATGTGGCTAGTCTAGTTGAACTAAAGTTCTCCTTTTATTTGACTTAATTTAAAATGTCTCTAGTGACTCCTGAGTTGTGCAGGGCAGCTCCAGCCCATGCTGGGACGCAGAATGAAGATGCTAAAACCACTCCAATTCAGGGGCTCTGGAGTGGAATATCGTCTTCCTTTCTTCCCTCCTGCCCCCTCCTACCCCTTCCCCTCCCCTGCCTCCCTCTCCCCTTTCCTTCTCCTCCTTCTCTGCCTCCTCTCTCTTCCTCCTTTTCATCATCTTCTTCAAATGTACTTAACTGGAACTTTCAGTCCATTCTTCTGGTTGTAGAAATGAAATTTCTGGTAACTTGGGGCTGCTTCATTCCGCACCTCAGCCATTGCTGCCTTCTCATCTTTGATGCCAGCAGCATCATGGGCAGCTCTTCATGGTACTCTCATAAACCCTCAAGGTAGACACATGTTCACTGCACGTGGCTTGGTGCAGGGAAGTCTGGAGCCACCACAGGACTGAACTGGGGGGCACTTCCAGCCTTCCATGTGGACATCTTTACTTCTCCTGTGCCCTAGAAGACACAGGGTTTCTGTGACCTTTGCTATATGACCCAAAGTTACATGATAGATCTGCCTCCAACCTCCCTGTACCCAACTCAAGTTCTGACCCTGGGGAGGGGCAGGGGGAGGTCCCTTTCTCGGAGCTTCCCCCTGGAGTAGTCAGCTGAGACTCAACAATGCTGTGGTGACAAACAGTCCACACACACACCTGACTTACGACCACAGAGGTATTATTTTTCACTCCGGATGGGTTGCTGTGACTCTGATCCTCTGACTCATTCCTGGTCTCATGGCAGAGTGGAGAAAGAAAGGGGTAGGGTCACAAAATAATTCCTAAAATTTCTGCTCCAAAGTGGTGTAAATCACTTCTGTATATAGTCTATGGCCAAAGAAAATCACATGACTGGTCTTGACCCCAGTGAGAAGACAGGAAGCATAACCCACCCCTATAGAAGTAGACAGTGACATTTTTGAACAATAATAAAACCTGCACATTCATTGTGCACTTTTCCTCTCCCTCACTCCCCTCCCACCCCCTGTCATCATCTTCCACAGCCCACAGCCTGTGGGTTCTTTATCTAGAATAGGCAGGACAGGATATTCTTCAGATTCTACCATTCATGGCATAGACTATTAATGCTCCAAAGCCCATCGTCTTAGAACTCAAAACCCCTTTCTTTAAAAAAACCTCTATTCTCCCACATGTGCTTCTGAAGCCTGCTTTGAAAGATCAGAAGAGTAAACTGGACACTCCTTTCACTTTTTTCCGTACTGTCGCCCTTCCCTGGGGTAGGAAGCGAAAATGCACTGGCTGCTTCCTGGATGGAAGGAAAGATCATAGGAAAACAGGACATTTGTGAAGAACTTATCAATTAATAAGAACAGTGCCAGACCACGCTCCAGCAGGGCAGGCTGCCTTTTGCGGAGAAGCAGAACGAAAACATCTCAGGACTGGAGGCTGACGTGATACTGGGGTTGTCTTCCAGAGTTCTGAAGGACTAGTGCCGTCTAATAGAGCTTTCTGAGATACAGGGATGTTCTGTGTCTGTGCTGTCCAGCACAGTGGCCCCTAACTTCAAGGGCTGTGAATATGAAGCCTTTGGCATGTGGCTAGGGTGACTGAGAAACTAAATTTTTAATTTAAGTTAATTTGAATTTCAATAGCCACATGTGGTGGCTACTAAATTGGCAGTGAAGTTCTAGATGTTACCAAAAGTCATACAGTGCCCTTAATGTCTCAGTATTACATATATATATGTGTGTATATATATATATATA